TTTTATGTGTTCAACATCAAATTGATAGTGTTTTAGGTGTAATTGCCACCTAATCAATCTACCTTGTTTATAATCTCCTTTAAATTTATTTTTAATAAAATAACTGAAATTATTATTATTACTTCTTACTAAAAACTTATTGGAGATAAGTATATTTTGAATTTTTGAATGCCCCGTAAAACTGCGAGTCATTCTTTTTTATTACTATGATAATTCTTTTCAGCATCTTTAAAAGTTTTTGAAGTATATCTACACAACTTTTCTTCTGTAGAGTCTACTGGGTTTGCTTTTAGAATTGCGCTTCAGTAAGAGTCAGAGGCATCTGTTTCTAAAATCATTTTATCATTTTCTTGAGGGTGATATAACGTGGGTAGAATTTTGTATTTTTTCTTTATTTTTCTACATATGTTGTATCACTTGGTGGCCAAGTAAAAATCCTTTTTTAATTTTGCTTGTAAAGGCTTACATATTACTGCCAAATTAGCTATGTAGCTTCTACATAAATTAAGATTCCAAGAAACCTTTGTAGTTTCTTTTTATTTCCTATTTCTGAGGGAAATTCAGAAATTTTTGTCATGATATGCGGTTGCATAGTTATACTTTCATTTTCAATTTCAAGTCCTATGAAATTACACTTAGTTTGAGAAATTTTTGCCTTTTTTCTCAAAAAGGATGATTCCCTCTATAAGATACTGTTCTAGTACTTGTATAACATGCTTACAGTGTTCTTGTTCGATTTTGTTGAAGACAATTATATCATCAACATATATCTTGCCAATTTTACTAAATTCTTTGCGCGGGTCTTTTAAACATAGAGCATTATCAATTCTCCTTTGGAATAATCCAGGAGCTTGTTTTAGCCCGAAAGCAACAACATTCCATTCAAATTGTCCATTTGGGTAACTGAATGCAATTAACTTTCTACTTTCTTCTTTCAGAGGGACTTGCCAAAATCTACTCTTACAGTCGAGCGTAATAAACCATTTCATATTTTTAATTAAATGAAATAGTTCTTCTTCTTAGGTAAAAAATACGCGTCCATTTCTGTATTATCATTTATTTTTTTATAATTAATAACCATACGTCTTTCTTGTCTTTGTTTTTCAGCTTCATTTTCTATTAGAAAAGTTGGACTACTATGTGGAGATTTACTAGGTCGAATTAAATTCATTTTAAGTAAATCTTAAATTTGTATGTTAAACTATTCTCTATCTCGAGGAGTATAACACATTGGTTTGACTCTAACGACCTTTGTAGAGTCAATTAATTTTATTTCAGCATGTAAAGCTGGGTTTTTTATGCTTTTATTAAGCATTTTATCTAATGGATTTTCACTCGTTATTTTATTTAATGCTTTTTGACAATCTTCTAAAGATAACATATAAAGCATTTGATGTTTGAATATTAAGGTGTCCATTATTCTTTTACATTGCATGGTTCGAATAAAAACTCTTTAGGGGTTTTTAGTTTCATTTGTTATTGCACTGGTTTTTTTATAACAGTAACCTTACCACGTTTTCATAGTTTAGCATTATTTTTCATAAATTCTTTAGATGCAAAGCTATAAGCTTTTTGCACTATTGTTATGTCAATTGGTACTTCATTCAAGTGTAACAGTATATAATTTAATTCTTGAACTAATGGTTTGTATAATTTTAAGAAGTTATTACCTATTAAAAGGTCTACTTCCGTATCGTGTTGGTATATAGTAGGAGCTATAAGTTTTTCTCCTGCTATTAAACATGTGACATTATAAGCCACTTTTTCTAAAGTAATTACTTGTTTATTTGCAAGTTGTGCAGTTATTTTTTGTTTAGCATTTTCCCATTATTTGATGGGTAATACAAAAGGATGTGCAGCACAAGTACTTGCACCTGTATCTATGCATCCATGAAGGTGATATAGTTTATACTCAGTGAATTTAAAACCCACCTTGATATAGGTACTATTAGTGTTAGTTATATTTAACAATTGTTTCATTCTTCAGAACTATGATCAGTGCAACTTTCACATTCAGAGTTTTGTTTGGAATAGAATTGTTTATATTCTATTTCAAATTTTAATTCATATTTTGAATTATTATACTCATTCTTAGATTCAACTGAAACAATTCTATTTCAAATTTTAATTCATATGTTGAATTATTAGACTCATTCTTAGATTCAATGGTTCAAATTTGAGTTTTTGCATTGCATAAAGCATTTTAGCTTTATCTTTACTTTCTTTTCTTTTAGGACATTCATTTGCATAATGACCTTCTTCTTGGCATAACCAACATTTACAGTTACTTTTTCCCTTTGGGCAATATTTTTTCTTTTCTTTCAATCCTTTTTCTACATCTAGGTTTGTTCATTTTATAATTCTTTTTTTTTTTTTGTATTTTCTATATTTAGGAATGTACCTTTTGTATTTTTTAAACTTCTGGTATTTTAATTTCCGAGAATGCCTCTCTTTTCTAGTTCTACATCCCCATTTATTAGGTATTTCTAATAATTGAGGATCACAACATGGTTTGTTTTGATAGTATACAAGAGTCCCTCTTAATTGAGTATCTTTACATCTATCTTCTATGGTTTTTTTAAGAAGATTTACTTTCCCTGCAAAATCTTCTGTAATATGATCAGGTTTATTAGACCATTTTTTGTTCATTTCGAAAGCCCATAATGGTGGCAGCTTATTGAAGTATTTTTCAGCATATGCGTCTATCTTCTTGTTTTAACAAGTAATGCAACTGTTTATATTCACATGTAAAGTTTTTCCAATAACAAATATCACATATTTGAATATTGTCAAGTATGAACTTTGCTTTTTTCTGTCTTTCTTCTAACACTACACTTGTGTTATTTAACTCTCTGACTCCTACAAACTCATTAACGAGTGGTTTAGTCAAAGCATTTAGAAACTCAATGTTATCTTCTAGTTTATTCCAAAGAACATCAAGGTTTGGAACACATGTGTTTGAATCCCACCAGTTTCTAACATTTCATTTCATATGAAGTTCTAAATATGTTTCTAATGTTTTTAGATCTTCAAATGCTTCTCTATTAGTTTGTATTACTACTAATATATAATTAGACCAACCTTTTATTGTTTCAACTGGTTTTGTCAAACAATCTAAATTGAGTATGTTTTCACTGTGATTATTAGAATTATATTTAAGAATAAATTTTTTCGGAGTATAATTCTTTGCTTTATTTTTCTTGTAAGGTTTTGCTTTACTTCTATTCATATTCATCATTCCTGGAATATTTATTTTTGGAATGTTTTCTTCTTCATCAGATACTCCAAAGTACCTATCTGCATTTGGATTATAGAACTCATCGTTAATGTACTTTTCAGGAGCCATGAACTCATGAGTGTCTTGATAATTACTTGGTCCTAGAGGAATATCCTTAAGATCTCTTCTTCAATTTTAACATTTATACGATCTTTTGTTTCTAGATTTTCACTTTCTAAACTAGAGTCGATGTAATTTCCAACTGATTTTTTTAAAGATAATATATTTTGATATTTGTCTAAGAGAGACAAAATATCAATTTCACTTTGAGTAAAATCAGTGTCACTATTCATTTTTCTCCAGGTAATCTTTTTCTTTCGGTTTTAAACATATTACTAAGATCCCATTTATTTGGTGGTCTATATGTTGGTATAGACTTCTTTTCTTTAATATTTCTTAAAACTCTTTCTATTTCTAATAATTTAGTGTCTTGGTTACTAGAATCAGTATGTTGTATATTTTGCTCTATTCTTAGAACACCTTCTTTTATTTCACTAACTATCGTTAGTATTTGTTGTACATTTCCTACTTCGAGATTTTTAGCCATTTAATCCTATTTCATTTCCAATGATTTACAAGTAAAATTACTTTGCTTAAATTTTCCATTAATGGTTCTATTGGTGAAATTTTCTCGTCTAATTTTATTAAAGTTTCTTCTAACCTATTTACGCTTGTTAATATTTTAAAAAATTTTGTCAGCTTTTGCAGCAATATCAAAAATTTTTGATAGTAAAGTATCCAGAAATTCGATATTTCTACTCGTTTTTTCAAGTCTTTCAAGAAATAATTATTGATTATTTCGGATTTTTTCAATATTTTCTCCAAGATGAGTATTATTTATTCTACTCATTTTTCCAAATATTTGGAATTTAAGCATTTTTAGCTTATATTTTATGATTTTTTTAGAGTTTTTTCTTTGAAAATAGGATTTAAAGGTATAAATGTCTTTTTTCTATTTTATGGGTTTTTTTAAATTATGTTTATATAGATTTTTTGGTCGAGGATTATTTGAACAAATATGTTGTTGGGGAAGGTCATATGGACCAATTTCCTCCTGCGTAACCTCTAGTGCGAAAGAATAAGAATACTTAACTAATCAAATCGAATATTAATTCAGTCTGCGACAGTGCTTTTTCCCGATCCACCCGTTGGAAGCCCCTCCCTCTTAGCTAGGGTTTTCTTGTTCCTGTAAATCAGGATTTCTTGTTTATCTCTTTCTTCAATCCTCCTTTTATCCTTGTTTTCTGTTTTCATTGTTCTTTCTATTCGTGTGCTTAATAGGGTTTGGTTGTGTAGGCCAGCTGGGTGTTGGATTCGGTTCACGTGGCAGCAGATCGCAATCTCGGTCCTAACGTGGGGGGTTCAAATTATCTTAGTAGTTATGGATCAAGACGTCCTCGATAAAATGAAGAGGTTTGAGCTCTCGGATAAGGAAAGGTCGGGTGACGAAATCGCATCATCAGATATTGAGCTGGTGTGCAAGAATGCTCCCTGAGTCTTCTGGGGAAGATTGTTGGGGAGAAGAAGGCGAGTGTTGGGGGTCTGCCTAACACAATGGGGCTAGTCTGGAGAACGGTAAAACCTTTCTCGATTCGGGCCTTAGACAACAACTTGTTCCAGTTTTTATTTCAATCTGAGGAGGATAAGGCCAGGGTTTTAAACGGGAAAGCTTGGACATTTGACGGGCAGTACTTGATACTGAAATAATGGAAGAAAGATGATATCCAGTTTCTGGAGAAGGATATGAAGATAGAGCTCTGGGTCCAGATCCACAACCTGCCTCTGCACTGGCTCTCGGCGGAAACAGGTATCAAAGTGGGTAAGCTCTTTTCGAAAGTTCTTGATGTTATTCCACCGGGACCAGGGATAGGAAATAGCAAGATTGTTAAGATTCTGGTAGAAGCAAATATCTCGGAGCCTATTCCGAGAGGCACCATAATTAAACTAGGCCAAGAGGAACACTGGATCGATCTGAGATATGAAAACCTCCTGCATTTCTGTTTTTATTGTGGAAGAATTGGCCATAGTGACAGGATCTGTGAGACGAAGAAGTCAGATATCCAGAGAAATGTGTTTAAGACAGGTCAATATGGTGACTGGCTTCGAGCCTCTGGGGGGGGTTTTGGGGGTTTTAGGGAAACCAGATCTCCCTGCTCTAGGGGGTTTAACTCTAACTCTGAATCCTATCAAGTAACAGCTAAAGGGGGGGTAGAGAATAGTCTAGATAAAACTCAAAACCTGGTTCATGGGAGTGTGGGAGAGGGTATTGTGGATGTTGTGGTTGAGAACCAAGCTCCCTCTGAGGCTAGGCCAACAGAGGTGATTAGGACAGAGCCAGGTGGGGAGAGAGGGGAGTGTGTGGTAACCCAACCCTCAAACCTTGAGAGTTACCCAGTGATGCCCATGGATCTTGATCTTTCTAAGGGGAATACATTGGCTGATGTCCATCTTATAGATGTTCCTATCCAGTCTGCTAAACCTGTTTAAACAGGGACTAAAATTCCTAAATCTTTTGTGAGGATTACTAGAAGCAAAAAAACAGAAGTCAAAGATAAAAATGTTGCTGTTGTTTCATCAGAAGTGTCTAATAGTCAAAGTAGTGGTC